CTTAAGATTTGTTGATAATAAGATTTATTCTTAAGATAATGTTGTTCAATTTTCCAGCATTTAATGTGTAAGGATACTACTTTGGGATTTGTGAGAGAAATTCTAAGTCCTTCTCAAACAAGCATCTTGCCTTTCCCAGAGCACTTTAAGATTGCCCAAAACTGGTTTAATATTAGTTTTCTGGAGGGCTGTGGCTGGATTTTGTGACTTTGAAAGTCAACAATGAGGGAAGAAATTCCCAAGTTCAGCTTCACCCAACCATGTTTAACTCAATTAATATTAATAGCTAGTTCTTTCACTAAGTTCCAGTTGCATTTTTCAGTTGACATATCATTTGTAGAGAATCTTTAGATTTCTTGTTATATTGTAGGCTAGAGGACATTATTAAGTCAATACTTACCATGTCCATGAAATGCTTTGAAACCCTGACTATGAGAATTATGGTGGTAACTGTAGGATCAGCTATTAATCTCCATTCCTATTTTCTTTTTTCTTTCTCTTTCTCTTCTTCTTTCTTTCTTTCTTCTTTCTTTCTTTTTTTCTTTCTTTCTTTTGTCTTTTTTTTTTCCCAAAGTGCTGGGACTACAGGCATGAGCCATCATGCCCAGTAGGCACAGTTGATTTTGAAAGTCAGAAGCTCTCTAGGAACATAGGAGGTCCCTGGACCACTTTTATCCTTGGAGAGAGCAAAAGGGTTCCATTGCTAGCAGAGGCATCCTGGTTCACTGTTCCAATATTTGGCAGTAACTACTACAGCTGCCCCAAACTCCTGTCCATGCAGCTGAAGTGAGTATTGAAGACAGCCCTGTTGGAACCCAGAAGGTCTCCAAGAACAGTTCACAGATATGTCTTGGTGAGTTATCAGAACTTGTGAAAAGAAAGCAGGAAGCCCACGCTTACTCTTTGTGTGGTTTCTAGGGCTTCTTCAGTCCCCTGCTGCCAGTGCTCCTAGGGTCCTTGGACATGCCCAATTTCTGAACCTACTCCTCTGTCTCCAGGGCTGGAGTCACAGTGAACTGAGAGCAGGGTAATTCTAAACTGCTATTCTATAGATACCCAAGAAAAGAATGTAGATCATCTCTGTCTCTAATGAGTCTGTTCCATGCTTTTGACACACATAAATCCCTACACTTGGGCACAGGAGTGGGCAAGACCACTTTGCAGCAAGTAAAATGGAATTCAGGGGTAATTTTTTTCTTATGAGGTAAAATTCAGAAAGAGTAAGAATGTTCATAAACATTAAAAATTTTAAATTTTAAAATATTCAACCTTCCATCTAAAATAAAGTAAAAATACTGTTTTGAATCCCAAGATGGAGTTATGCAATTCATATTCTTATAATTTAGATTACCTACTGTGTTAAATAGAATATGTTTTTAAAAATATGTGAGTACCTGGGCATATTGAAAAAGTAACTAAGGCAGCTTTCATCTTTGAATTGGGTGTGATTTTGCGGGCTATATCTGGAAACTGGGCCAGCACATGGGACCTGAAGGTGAAAGTTTTCCTGGGTACTTGTTGGGCTCTAAGGTAGTGGATGGATGCTAAGGTTCCGTCCAGTTTTTCATTTCTATCTTCAGAGAACGCTCACACCTACAGGGGAGGAAGTGGATTAGAGGTTGCTAAAAGTATAGCCTGGTTCAAGGGATGGTGAGCTATACAAAAACAGAAAATAAGATGTCAAAACTTTCAATCTCAAATAACTTATCACAAAAGGATTTTAATAGTTTCAATACAACTATCACAAGTTGGGTAGAGACCACCAGACCTATGGCTTAAGACAAAGCTCGTAGTAAAACATTTAAAAGCATAATGGAATCAGCATTTTTAATTTATGTATATAGTTAGTACCAAAAAAGAGCAGGGTATGTTTTTGAATATTTTAAAATATAATTTAGGAGTGACAGATTGGGGATAAGAGAGTGTTTTAATTTCTTGTAATCATCCTGAATAATGTGTCTTGTCCCCACCAACCTCCATGTATGGCTGCAGAAGGTTTTCCTCCTTTGTATGGTGACAGTGTGGAATGTCACCAATTTTCTCTGTAATGGTTCCTTTTGAGCCAGGGGCTCTGGAAACTGCTGTATATGTTTCATTTCATCCATCATTCAGGTCCAAAAACTACATAGAGCTATCAAGCACTGTCTAAATGATCTGATTGGTATGTATGAACTGACTTTGATTCTTTGCATAAATGCTAAGCTGTCTGTTTTATTTAGGTTTCGGAGCCTTAGGGCAAGGATATAGAATAAATTGTAAATAATATTAAAAAGAATAGCTGGGGAAGGAACAGTATGTCCTTAGGGGTCAAATGCAAGGTAACATAAAGTAATTTGGGGGTGATATAAATAAAGCATAACACATGTAGGGTGGTTGTGATAAATAAAATCAAATCGGATATCCTTACAGTTCCCACATGCAGTATAATCAAAAATGTTTAAAGACTGAAGCCTTTGGGGGATTGTGAGTTATTTCCCATGATTGAGAATAAAATTATTCCTATAATTTGATATCAAAGTTTTACTAGAAATTTTGCTTGACCATCAGTCATCTGGAGTGAGTCAAGAAGAGTAAGGATTGAGAAGTGAGTCAGGTGGGTTGCATAGATGAGTCTGTGCTGCAGACCAAACTCATCTTTCCATAACTCATTCCTTCCCACTCTGCCTCTTAGAAGACTAGAATATGTCCAACATAATCCATAGGACTATGGTTCAAATGTTAGCTTTGGAGGAAAACACACCTGGGTTTATGCCTAGGTTTTTCTAATTGCTAGCTGTGTGACCTAGGAAAAGTTACTTACCTACTCTGTGCCTCATTTCCTTCATCTGTGAAGTGGAAACAATAACAACTCTCTCACAAGGTTGTTGTGAAGATCTCTGAAACCTCTTAGGTTCTGAGAGGTTGTGAGTGTTCAATAAAGAGAGAAATTATTTTCCATTTTCACTATCTGCATCTCTTATCTGGTTTATTACTGAAGCTTCTACGCACCATTTCCATCATGTCACATGCCCATTCAAAACCTCTCAATGACTGCTTAGTTTTCAAAGTCTAAAAGTGAAATTCATTGACTGGAAAGTGTAATCATTCCTGGAGTCCTGTCTTTGGGATTTGTACTAGCTATCTATCTATTGTGCAAAAAATTACCACAAGCTTAGTGGCTTAAAACGTCACACATTTGTTATTCCACAGTTTCTGTGGGTCAGGAGTCTAGGCACAGTTCAGCTGGATATTCTAAGTCTCATAAGGTTGCTTTCAAGGTGCTGGCTAGGGCTGTGGACTCATCTGAGGCTCAACCATGGATGGACCCATTTCCAAGCTAATATGATTGGAAATCAGATTTTTGTATATTGCTGGACTGAGGTCCTTAGTTTATTGCAGGGTATAAGTCAGAGGCCAAACTCAGTTCTTTGCCATGTGGGTAGCTCCATAGGGTAGCTCACAACATGGTATTTTGCTGGATTAAGGTCAGCAAGCAAGAGAGTATTCTAGCAAGATAAAATTTACAATCTTATGCAACATAAGCATATAAATCCTGTTATCTTTGTTGCATGCTATTGGTTATAAGCAAATCACAGTTCTGCTTATACTCAATTGAAGGGGATCACACAGGAGTGTGACCACAAGAAGTAGAAATCATGGGAGCATTTTTAGAGTCTGTCTGCCACAGGTTCCAGGATCAAATGCTGGTGATTGATTGCCAGCTCCATTATTTATTTCTCTTGCCCCCTTTCTGCATATGTAAAAATGGAGATAGAGTGATTTTCTATATCATAGGGTTGTTAAGAAGATCAAATGAGGTAAATTATTTTGCAAAATATTCTATACTCAAATTCCTACCTATTTTAAGGTCTGCCTTAAGTCCTAACTACTCCATGAGGGCTTGGCCAAATCTGGTCACCTGCATGAGTTTTTCCTTTCTTATGACAGAAACTTCTTGGCCCATTCATAGTTTATACATTATTATATACTCTTATGTTTGATTAATAAGACATTCATAATGCATATCTAACTGTCTGATAAAATTATAAGCAACCTAAGGACCAGGATTTTTTTTCTCTATAAGTAATAAAATATAATAATTAACATTTATTGAATACTTATGTGTCAGGCACTCTAATAAGCATTTTATTATTTTTTAATTCTTCTAATCCCTACAACAACCCTTTGAGGTAAGCCCTATGATTATTCTCATTTCATAAATAAGGTAACTGTGGCTCAGAGAGGCTAAGGTGTCTCACTCCAGGAGTGGAGCTCTTGCTTTTCCCCATATGCTACCTCTTTTGTGTGGTTTAGAGCAGTATAATATACAAAGCTGTTACTCATTTTGGTCTTTGATAAATAGAAATGTATTTGTGAATTTGAGAGAAGACTACCCTAGAGAAATCTGGAGAAGTACACTTTCATACTGATGGTCAAGATGGGAGACAAGTGTGTCCTGGCATCATCACCTGCTTGTTGATTTCTTTTGCTGATATAAAATCTCCATAGCTACAAAATGGCCATATTCTGGGTCATATTGAGGGCAGCCTTCTTTGGGGATCATAGTTTAAGATCAGAATTCCTGGGCTAAGTCATGGCACCTAGGAGCTTACTGTGAACTGGTTCCCATTTCTTATGGTTCCCAATGTTATGAGGGGTCTGTATCCCATTACATACACTCTGAACTCCACTGGTTTCTCTTTTTAGAGCGTTAATCCTTGAATTCTTGGCCACGTCACTCACATCACAGCACTAAGGTCATAAATTCCAGGACCCCACAGTGTGAATCATTTGTGAGAATTTACTTCCAGTTCTGGGGACAGGACCTTTGGGAAATCTAGGCACTGCGCCAGAAAGAGAGAGTAGCCTGGTCTCTCTTAACTTTGACCTTCAGCAGAGTAAAGGATTAAACCACTCAGGAAATACTAGATGTTCCACCAGATGTTGTTTGGACTATATTTTCTGTTCTATCTGTTCAAGCAGTGCCATTCTAATTCCAATTATATTTTTTGTCATTTTAGAGTGATCATGGGGCCAAATGGTCTGCCTTTTATGAAGAACAGTCCAAGCTTGCCCAAACTTATCCACTAGAAGCAATTCAAAATCTTACAATCAAGCGTCAATTGAGGGTCCTTCAGCAGAGTGGCTCTTCAGGGCTCTCAGCAGACAAGAATAAACAGGTATGTTCGTGAACTTTTTAGTACTGATCTTAAGAGCTGAAAATTTTGTGAAATATTAAACATTACTATCACCTATGGCTGCTTTCTTTATCTGCAAAGATAGTAATGCTGACATTAGAAAAGCTCTATGCCTAGGCAGAGTGACCATATAATTTATTATCCAAACTGGAATCTTTTTGAGTGAAAGAAGACATTGGTAATAATTACATTCAAACAGAGAGTTAAATTGGGATTGTCCTGGGCACTGTGATGTGTATGGACACGCTATGGTGTGAGGTCATCTTCCTGAGGATCAGGTAGTCTGAAGAATAAACTTAGTCTATGTCAGTGGTTCTCAACCAGGGGTGATTTGGGACCCCTGGGGACATTCGACAATGTCTGGAGACATTTTTGGTTGCCATAACTGGGGGACACAATTGGGATTTAGTGGATACAGATGCTGCCGAACATTCTCCAATGCACAGGACGGCCCCCAACAACAAAGAATTATCTTGCCCACAATGTCAATAATGCCAATCTTGAGAAACCCTATATGTAGTCTAATTCTTCTTTCCTTTTGTCCTTGACTCTCCTCTGCAACTTCTCTAACAAGTGGCTGACTGCTTTGGCTTCAAAGCAGTTCAGTGATGGGTGATTCAACTCTTTCCAAGACAGTAGTTCTATGTGTGAGTCCCTCCAACTGCTCTTTCCCATAATAGTCCTTAAACATATAAATGAAGCTAGTTTTTTAAAGAACTACTTGAGTTTTTTCTTCTCTAGGCTAAACATCCTTCACTCAGTCAAATTTCCCCTGCAATGGCTTTGAGTCCCTTCCCTAGTCCTAGTTGATGTCTTCATTTTGTCAGTATCTTTGAACCAAACATAAGTGGGTTCTGGTCTGCATGGAGGTGAGCAAGAATATGACATTTTATACCCTGTGGTTTATATCTACTAAGGCAGTCTAGGACTGTTATTAGGTGTTTTTGTTTGACAGCCAAATGCCATGGCTTGTTCATATCAACCTGTCAATGAAGTCTCCAAATCTCTCTGCCAATGTTGCACTAAAAGGATATCTTTTAAAACCCTATGCTTAGGTAGTTAGTTTGTCCAAAATCAAGAAAGCCTATATTCACCACTGTTAAATAGCATCTCTCATTCCATCCATCTAGCCCAGGAGTCAGCAAACCTTTTTCTGTACTGGGACAGATGGTAAATATTTTAGGATTTGTGGGCCATTGCTGTCTGTGTCACAGCTAGTCAGTTCTGCTCTTCCAGCAGGAAATCAGCCATAGCTATCACATAAACTAATGAGTGTGGCTATATTCTAATAAAACTGTGCAAAAACAGGCAGCAGACAGGATTTGGTCTGCAGAACATAGTTTGTAGACCACTGATATAGCCTATTGAAATCTTTTTATCTGAAATATTTTGGTATTTAATATCAAAGTCTTCTTTCTCAGTTGCTTGTCCTCTAGAGCTCTGTGTTCTGACCTGCACTTATAAAAATGAAAATTCATGTTAAAGACAAAGATAAGGCCATATGGCATGTATTTTTCTACAAAGTGCTATTTATTATTCTGTTTTCTTTGGGTCCAATTATCTAAGTAGTTATTAATCCACTTTACCTCATTTGTTTCATGTTTCTGTCTTTTTCACAAGGACACCATGACAAACCTTGCCCATTCACATATATACAGACTGGTGTAGCCTATGTGGAACCTGAACATTCTGTTTGTAAAAGAACCCCAGATAATTCTAATGTGCAGGCAGTATTAAAAACCACTGAAATGCATGTAAGAGATTGAAGAGTTTGGGAAGAGAAGGTACCCAAGGGTGTGTGGATTCAATGGAGAGGAAACAGGGGAGATTGAAGAAGCAGGTAGAGAAAGAAACCATGATAGGTTTCGTGCCATGGTAAAGAATCTAGTTTTATTTCTTTACACTATGGGATCTAAATGTAGGGTCTATTTCATGATTTAGAATAACGACTCTCATAGCAGAGCCCCAGAAAAACAGAAGAGGGAAACAGAAAGGGAAACAGGGCCTTTAATCCAGTGCTTTTGTGGGAAAGAACCCTCCCTCCCTTCCTTCCCTCCCTCCCTCCCACCCTCCTTCCCTCTCTCTTTCCTTTCTCTCTCCTTTCTTCGTTTATTTCCAGTCTACTGCAGATCAATACTTGGTCAAGTTCATTGATTACATGCTTAGATGTTTATTCTCTCAATTCTTGTATTTGTCACAGAATGGAAACAAATTGTTTGCTGATTTGCACTGGCCCATGGGCCATACTTTGAATAGCATTGCTTTACTCTGTTACCTTCACTCCCATTTACCTACAGGGTAAAGTTTAAACTCTTTAGCATGGCAGGGGCCAGATCATGAGGCATAGTCTATGCCATTCTCATGTCCTCCACTTCCCCTATGAACGCCAACACTCCAGTTTTATTCAACATCATCATCCCCTGAAAATGCTCTGTCTTTTCCAGCCTCTTTTCATCTTTTAGGCTCTGCCCTCTACCTCCTCTCTCTACCTGACCAATGCCTACTTCTCCTCCAAGACACAGCTCTTATGTTCCTTCCTCTTTGAAGCCATTCCTGAATCTCCAGGTTATTAATTTATCCCCCCTCCTCGACTGCCACATCACTTTTTGGTGACACTTATAGCACTTGTCACTGTTCTATAGTTATTGATTTCATGGTTGCCTCATTGTCCCATGGCTTTGGGGTCTTTGAGGGCTGACTTGTTCATTTCAGAATTGTCAGAGTATAGGACATAGTAGAGGCTCAATAAATGCTGAATGAAACAAAAAATGCACTTCTCTGTGTATGTGTAGGTGAGAAATATTCTTGGGATTTTGGTAGATCTTGTTATTTCAATTACTCTACATATGTTTATCATGTGCTACAAGGCTTTGTGCTAGCTGACAGTGGGGAAACTTTACTGACTACGTATTCCTTCCCTACATACAGGAAGATGCTTGGCAAAGAAGATGTGAACTGCTGTATTTCCACTCATCAAAAAAATCCCATAGCCAAAAGGATATCTTTACATTAGCATTCTCTTTAATATATTTTCCATTGTTAACATTGTTTATTATCTTTAATTTGCAGCTGAACACAATTCTTAACACAATGAGCACCATCTACAGTACTGGAAAAGTTTGCAACCCAAATAATCCACAGGACTGTTTATTACTTGAACCAGGTAGACTTACTATTTTTGAATAGTGATTATGAGATTTACTTTTATCCCAAGTTTTAAAAATGAGATTGACATTAGATGATGACATTGTACTTTTCAGATGGATAATCTGAAGACAATAAGGTTCCAAATATGTATGTTTTAGCACACAGATGCTCTTTTAGCTTTTAACAAAACTTCATTGTAAATTCTGTCACATTCAAGTAATTTAAGTTAGTAATTGAATTGTTTCAGTGATTTACTTTCTCTGCAGACTTATTTTGGAATTACCATCAGGGTGAGGATATGAATGAATCATGAGATTTTATTTAATAACTTTATGGCCTTTTAATTCTTTAAAGTTCATGTAATTGTTTACAAATACAATTTTTACAAATGCATGTTTATTTCCCTTTGGGTGCTTTATGGTAACAGGTTTGGACACAATAATGGCGAACAGTAGAGACTACAGTCAGAGGCTCTGGGCTTGGGAAGGCTGGAGATCTGAGGTCGGCAAGCAGCTGAGGCCATTATATGAAGAATATGTGGTCTTGAAAAATGAGATGGCAAGAGCAAATAGTAAGTTTGCCAGTCTATAGAGGTCCTGAAGGGCTCTCTGGGGCCACGGGGCTATTTCTCCTACATTACCAAGCCTGCCCTTTGATATTACGGATACCCTCAATTAACAATCATCTCCTGAACAATTTAAGCTACTGGTATTAAGAAGAAACTACTGGGGAAAAAGAAAAGGTGCATTGGCATTCTGCAGTTCAAGGAGCTCAAGTATAGGTCCTCAAATGAATTATCCATCACTATGAATGATGAATTTCTAGAAAGATCTAAGGCCCCCAAGAGTTTCTGAGGAAGTCTGGGAATTGACTAGGGATCCTATTTCTCAGAAGGATGGGAGACAGTGACATTATCTGTTATCTAAACCTCCATCTGGCCACAGTTCATTCTCAAAGGTCACTTGTGTGTCTACCTCTGGGCGATGTTCCAGAAAGAAAAAAATCAGTTTAGTTTAGTCTGGAAACTCATTATTTTCTGCAGTTGTAACTAACTCAAATCATATGGTCATAAAAAATCTTAACATAGGAAGGAATTGCCATATCTCTTAACTTATTCTCCTGCCTGAATAATGAGCTAGAGTCATGGTATTATGAATAATTTTATGCTTTGATGAGTCACTGTCCCCTGGGTTTGAGTAAGGAAGAATTTTTTTCTCATTTGTTATATCTAAATTTCTTCCACTACCACTTAAATTCATATTCTCAAGCCTTAGGCAAGCTGAAGATAGTAGCTTATCACAATTTTCAAAAATAATATCCTGCATATCTTTCCATTCAATATTTATTTTTCTCCACATCCTCCTGATAGTCCATTGCCAATGTTTGTGTAAAAATAAAAATTACTAAAATATGTTTACAAACTTTATTAACTAATATTCTAACACAAGCTTGTCTTTCCTGATGGTGAGATACTAAATGAAGCACATAGAAACGTGCTGTGTATATATATAATTTGCAAACAAATAGGTTTCCACTGTGGCGACGGCTAAGATGAGTTTGGTCAGATCTGAGAATATAAGGCCCTGAACAAAATGAGAATTAAAAAACTTAGGGATGCAATCACATGTTTTAAAGCTAAAGATGCAAACTGACCTATATAGAGAGTAGAGACCAAAGGTTAGGAAATTAGGTGTGTGTCTCTGCCCCTTACTGGCTGCGTGACCTTGGACAAGTGATTTAACTACTCTAAGCATAGGCTGTTGGTGGGAATATAGATTGGTGCAGCCATTATGGAAAACAGTATGGAGGTTCCTAAAGAAATTAAAAATAGAATTACCATGCGACCCAGCAATCCCTCTTCTTGGGTAAATACCCAAAGGAGATGAAATCACTGTCTTGTAAAGATATCTGCACTGCAGCATTATTCCCAATAGCCAAGATATGAAAACAACCTAAGTGTCTGTCAATGGACGAATGGATGTGGTATGTATATATGGAATGAAATGTATATATATGCAATGGAATATTATTCAGCCTTAAAAAATGGGAGTTCCTGTCATTTGCCACAACGTAGGTAGACATATAGTACATTATGCTAAGGGAAATAAGCCAGACACAGAAAGAAAAATATTGCATGATCTCACTTATAAGTGGATTCTAAAAAACTTAAAAAGATCAAATATACAGACATAAAGAATAAAACAATGCTTACCAGGTGTGGGGTGGAAGGTGGGAAATAAGATGTAGGTCAAAGGATACAAAGTGGCAGATATGTAGGATGAACAAGTCTAAAGATCAAATGTATAACCTAAGGACTATAGTTAATAAAAGTGTATTGTATTCTGGAGTTTTTCCTAAATGAGCAGATTTTAGCTGCTCTTTCCATAGGGGATAGAAATGGGTAACTATGTGAGATGATTATTAATATGTTAATTTGTTTCACTATAGTAACCATTTTACTATATATATGCATCTCATGACATCGTGCTACATACCCTAAATATACATAATAAAATTTATTTTTAAAATATGCATAACTGTTAAGTGGTGTTATAATAATGACAATCTGGTATGGATTTTGTGCTTGTTAAATGAGATAATACACTGAAACTCTTGACACAGAGCAAGTGCTTAACAGACATTATGTAATGTTATTCGTTTGCATCCCTTTCAGTTTATGTTTATCACAATAAAATGTGATAAGCCTTTAGAATTCTTTTGACCTCCAGCAAGGCTAATCCATATATACTGGACTTATCATTCTTTCCCTTATGTTCTTCTCTTTCTCTTTTTAAAAAAAACAGATTATGAGGACTATGGGGATTATTGGAGAGCAGATTATGAAGCAGAGGGGGAAAGTGGCTATAATTATAACCGAAGCCAATTGATGGAAGATGTGGAACATACCTTTGCACAGGTAACTGAGGAACTGACACAGAAACAGATGTAGGGCAGTGCACAGGGCAAAGGAACAGTGACTAAAGGCACTCCAGCTTATTCTTAACACACTGGTCAGCCACTCCTGGGCCTCATAAGAGTTATGGAATATTAGAGATTGAATAACAGAGCAGACCCTGAAGATGATCAGAATTGTTCTGCTTTCCTCCCCCTTTCAATCACTGACCAGTAATTACCAATAGAAAAATTATAAGAAGGGAAGATTATAAGAAGGAATGGTCTCTGTCAGCTACTTGGGGCTGGTGCTGTCTTCCTTTGCTGGCAGAGCCATAGGCTTTGCTTCCTTCTTCAGGACAATTGATACTATTATTTCATTAGCCTTTGACTAAAGAAGTCTATAAAGGGAAGAGAGAGTCCTATGAGCAGAATTGTCCCATGTATACCTTTCAGTGTGTCCTTCTTCCTTCATTTTGGCCCCCATGCCTGCCCTTTACTTCTGCACCTTCAAACTTCTGATGTGAAGCTACTCTGGCACAGTCATAATTGAGCAGATCTATGAAAAATAGAAGACAACTCCTTGCAAAAAGAAATGGGCAGAAGATTTGAATAAACACGTCATCAAAAAAGTATACAAATGGCAAATAAGCAAGTAAAAAGTTATTAGGGTACTGCAAATTAAATCATGATGAAAATCCACTACATTCCTACCAGAATGGCTATGATTGAAAACATGGACAATACCCAGTATAGAAAGACTTTTATACAAATGTTCATATAGCCATAGCAGCATTATTCACAATAGCCCCAAACTGCAAACAACCCAGTTGTCCTTCAACTGGTGAATGGATCAGCAAACTCTGATATATTCAGACAATGGAATACTACTCAGTAATAAAGGAAATGAACTCTTGATACTTGCAACAACACAGATGAACCTAAAAACATTGTATGTGAAAGAAGCCAGATACAAAAGGTCACATATTATATGATTCCATTTATATGAACTATCCAGAATAGGCAAAACTGTAGAGACAGAAATCAGTGCAGTGATTACCTGGGGCTGGAGGTGGGAGTGGAACTGACTGCAAATGGGCACAAAGAAACTTTTTGTGTCGATGGGAGTGTTTTAAAACTGGGTAGTGGTGATGGTTTCCCAACAGTTTGAATTTATTAAAACTTATGAAACTATATATTTAAAAATGGATTGATGTTATGGTGTTTAAATTATACCTCAATTTAGAAACAAAGGAAGTAGGTTACATCTTAAAAACAACATTTTTTTGTATCTGCTTTCATTTTGAGACCTGTCTTCCTCCAAGTGTGTTTATTGATTTATATAGTAGAACTAATTATCATCAATATCTGGGAAGAAGGAATGCTTTTAAACTCTCCAGAATATTTGAAAGAAGAAGAAATTATAACTAAGGGAATAATTCTACTTGGCTAAAGAAGCTCCTGTTTCTAGCGTTGGGGTTTGGAAATTGGAGTTGGCTATTCTCGATTTTAAACTTTCTTCTGGGCTTTTTAGATCAAACCATTATACGAACATCTTCATGCCTATGTGAGGGCAAAGTTGATGAACGTCTACCCTTCCCATATCAATCCGAATGGATGCCTCCCTGCTCATTTGCTTGGTAAGAAACCTCAGCAATTCTTTGTGTACTTGGCTTTTTATTATTTCCACCAATAAAATTGTCTTTTGGAATGTGGCCCAACCTAAAACTTTTGAAACATTCTGTGAATTAAATTAGTAACATTATAGAAATCACATTTTGAGAGCACTTTCTTCAACAGAAAGTCCATTTTAAATAATTCTCTATTACATTACTTTTTTTTTATTTCAGCATATTATGGGGGTACAGATTTTAAGATTTCAATAAATGCCCATCCCCCTCTCCCCCCACAAGTCTGAGTCTCCAGCATGACCATCCCCAGATATTACATTACTTTTTTAATACATAAAGAGTTGTGTTGGCTGCAATTCGAAGGATAAAGGGGTTATTTGAGACAACTAGAGAAGGAATTCCAGGTTCAAAGGAGAGTGGAAATGGGGAAAATAATTTTTAGTATTCAAGTTGAGTGGTGAAGCTTTTGGGGTGGAATTTAGGCTGGAGATGTTCAGGGGTAAGAGAAAGGCTTTCTAGAAGTAAGGTATAGCCTTGGAGAAAGCTTCATAAGTTCATTCTAGACTGCACAATTAATCTTGCTGAAAAGTACTTGGTTTGGAGTCATCTGAGTAATGAATGAAGGAGAGTGGCCATTCCCCACCGCCACCCCTAGCAGCTGAGACCAAATAAAATATGAATATTAATATTTGAAAATTTCATGCCATGTGTACGTGGCATATCTACTGTAGTCAAGCCAAATTGCTGGTAGCTAATTCTCTTCCTCATGTCCACCAGCAGGAGAGAATATGGACAAAGGACCTGTGGAGACTTTTAACCCTAAAGGAATATGGAAATATTCTCTACATGGCCGTGGCAGGCATTATTTAGTAATTCACTTTCTGCTTAAACCTGCCCAATGTGATGGGGTAATTTTTTTCCTTCCAAGGTAGACTAATTTATTCTACAGGGCACCAATTATAAGAAAGTTCTACCTTATGTAGAACTTAAGCAATGCTGCTCTAATGCTCTCCATTCATTACTCCTATGTCCATGCTGTGGGGTTACCCTGACTATGTCAATTCTTATTCTACAAGACGATCTTCCAGATATTTGTAGACAACCATCATATAAGACACAATATAGTAGCTGGCACAGTACATTTTAGTGACTATTATTGTTATCATCACGTACACATGGTTTTCTTTTTTCAACTTAAATATCTTACACAGATTTCCAACCATTCTTTAAAACACTATTTTTCTAGTTGTTCTCCTTTGGATGAGCTCTATTTTGTTAATGTCCCTCTTTAGCTATCATGCTCAGAACGGAATAGTTACTCCAGATGAGATTTGACCAACTTAGAGAAAAATGTGGTATCATGCCTGCCTTTGCTCAAGACACTATAATTCTATGGATTTAGTTTAAAGTCACATTTGTGTTTTAGAAGCCATGCCATACATACTGTTCTTTGAGTCACTTTTGGTCTTTTACATGTGGACTGTGCTTCAGCCTGATATCACATATATTTCTATGGTGGATAGGTTTTTCTTTAAAATTTAAGCATAAGACTTTACATGTATCTCTACTAAATTTTATCTTTTAAAAAATGAGTTCACTGGAGTACTGTTCATGTAGTTGTGTTGCCCCATTTCTTTGGTGCCAGGATTCTGGTACTGCTATTAGTTAGATTCACTTTTCCTGAATCCATCTTCCCTTTTAATATCTCTGGCCTTGGAAATCAACTTAACATGTGTTTGAGATATTTAAAAATCCACCTGGTTAAATGTACTACTATAGTAGTAAAAATGGAATTTAGTTACTAGTTAGTAGAAGTTCCTGAATGATGATCTTATATGATCTCTTTTGAATCCAATAGTTTAATTTGTAGTATTTTAGCTCTTTGTAATATATAATAATTATCATATTCCATATATTTAATAAATTATGCCTATATTTCTGCTATCTTTCTCATGTATTAATGGATTCTTTTTTTAAATAGGTGATATGTGGGGTAGATTTTGGACAAATTTGTACTCCTTGACAGTTCCCTTTGAACAGAAACCAAACATAGATGTTACTGATGCAATGGTGAACCAGGTAGGAAGAAGTCTTAAAAACATTAAATCTAAATTCTCAACTTCTTTTCTTTCTCAACTTCTTTCTCAACTTCTTTTCTTTTTTATGTTATCTTTCTGTTCTTATTTTTTATATGTGAAACCATGTAAATAAAAAAGCTAATTTACATTTATTTCTTATGTAGCTATATTTTCATGGAAAAGTAGTTTACAATGACCTCAAGTACCTTGAATGACAGGTATGGCATTTATCTCATTGAGAGGCATTCAAAATAGAGATGATCTGAGTTTTCCGTTGATCAGTAAGATGCGTAATTATTACCTGGTTGGCATCATTCTTTCCAAAGTTAGTCATTGCGAAGTAGTCAGTCAGTAATCTCTATGAATAGTAAAAACAAGAATATCATTAGGAGATTTTCGCATATTTAAAAAATCATTAGTGTTAACATATTATAAAAATATTTAATTAAATTAATTTATTTATTTTGAGACAGACTCTCTGCTCTGTCACCCTGGCTAGAGTGCAATGGTGACATCATAGCTCTCTGCATCCTCAAACTCCTGGGCTCAAGTGAACCTCCTGTCTCAGCCTCCAAAATAGCTGGGACTACAGGTGCACATCACTATACCTGGCTAATTTTTCTATTTTTTGTGGAGACAGGGTCTCGCTCCTGCTCAGGTTGGTCTTGAACTCCTGAGCTTAAGCGATCTTCCCATTTCAGACTCCCAGAGTGCTAGGATTACAGGCATGAGCCACCACACCAGGCCAACAAGAATCTTTATAATAATTTTTAAATCATCCTTTTCTTATCACTTTGGTATAATTGTTTACACTCTCTTACACCCTTCTCTTGATGAAATAATATAGTTATAATTATGTATTTTTCTTTATTCAATGAAAATTCTACGTTTCGGGGTAGAATGCATAATTATTCTTCTATTTGCCTTATAAAATTTCTTTAGATTATTGCACCATAATTTACTATTTATTAATAGCTGAACCTTTGCTCGTTAATAGTTTTAAGGCTGTAAGAAGCAATGCAATGAACATCTTCACATACATAACATACTCCTGGGAAAAATCCACTGCAGAATAAAAATGTGAAGCTGCAAGGGCCTCCAAACTCTTGCAGCTGTTCTAGACCCATTTTGCAGTTGAGAAGCAGTAGAGGTCCGTCTTTATGCAGGTATTTAGACTTTCTAAAGTGTTTTCACACCCATCATAGATGTCATCTAAGAGACTGTCAGGACAAGTATTGTTATAGCTCCATGCTATAGGTGAGGAAACTGAGGCTCAGGTAAATTATTTGCCCAAAGTCACAAAGACAGTCTTTGGTGACCAAAGATCGAACTCAGAACTCCTAATATTTCCAGTCTGGTTTTATATTCATTCATTCATTCCTCATTCAACAGATCTTAACTCTGTTCCTAGTCTGTACTGTTTCGCTATATGTTCATTCTGCTTAAGAATGCCATTATCATCAGTACCAATTGCCTGACAGTAAGTCTTTAAAGGTCAATAATTAAAAAAAAATCTGTAGTCTCATATACTATTTCTTATTCCTAGGGCTGACATAAGAGAAAAACCAGACATGATGGGTCTTTGAGATCAGAGGAAGTTTTCTGTTACTAAAAGTGATTCATGAACTATCTGCCAATTATGCAAACTTAGCTTGCCTGATGTGGGCCTTATCTCCTAAACGGGGTTGGTTAGCTCCTGAGACACTAGTTCCCAGGAGAGTTTTCTGGGTGGCAAATGCTGACTGATGTCTCTTTCCAGTTCCACAACATTCTGAAAGTTTAGACTCCATACAGATCATGAAGCCAAGGTCCAACTACCCATTGGCTGCCAAGCCATTCATGCCTTCAAGTTCCCCCTCATTGTGTCTTTCATTGACCCTAATCCAGGGCCTTGCCCCTTGAAGGAGCTCAATCAATGACTGTTGGCTTAAGTTCAAGTCTATAGTAAATAGAAGGTCATTGTTATTTATGTTTATGCTTAGAATATAAAAAATAAAGACCAAAAAAATTACACATTATCTCACCTGGTCTACTGTTAACATTTTCATGTATATCCTCATTAAGATCATATCATATAAATGATCTATATATTCTACTTTTCACTTACTATTAAATTATATTTTATAATATCAATAAAAACTCCTCATAAATATAATTTGGGTAGCTGCACAATTTTCCATTCTACAAAGCTATCATTATTTATTGAACCATTCTGGTGACTGTTTCTACTTTTTTCCCTATTAAAAATCATTCTCAATGTAGTTCTTGCACCTAATTTCTGATAATTTTTTAGGTTAGTTACGTAAGGACAGTATTACTGAGACAAAGAGAAAGCTTTCAAAAGCTGTCCATACATGTTACAAAATTGCCTTTCAGAAGTGTATGCCAATGTATTTATCCAACAGAAAGAATGCTGTTTTTTATGCATTAACACTTTCCCCCCATTTTAAAATTTTATTGTAAATTGACAATTTATAATTGTATATATTTATGGGGTACAAAGTGATGTTATGATTTATGAATACAATGCAGAATAATTAAATCAAGCTGATTAACATATCCATCACCTCACATACTTGTTTTTTACAGTGAGAACATTTGAAATTTACTTTCTTAGCAATTTTGAGATGTACAATACACTATTATTAACTATATTCACTGCACTGTGCAATAGATCTCAAGAAGAAAAACGTATTCATCTGATTTGAGACTTTGTACCCTTTGACCATCACCTCTCCATTGTCCCCAACCCCCAGCATCTGTAGCCACCATTCTATACTCTGCTTCTATGAGTTTGATTGCTTTAGATTCCACATATTATGTGAAAACATGTGGCATTTGTCTTTCTGTGCCTGGCTTATTTCATTTAAGAATGCTGTTATTTTAATGCTGGAATTAGATACTATTCTTTTTTCCCAGGCCTGGGATGCAAACAGAATACTCAAGGAGGCTGAGAATTTCTTTGTATCTGTCGGCCTTCCTAATATGACTCAAGGATTCTGGGAAAAGTCCATGCTAACTGAACCAGAAGATGGCCGGAAAGTGATCTGCCATCCTACAGCTTGGGACCTGGGGAAGGGCGACTTCAGGTAAGGCTGATATTTTCATAGTTGATGCTAAATGGGGGACAATGGAGGCAGGATGAAGTTGAACATGGATTCCTTCTCCGAGCACAGAAGCGATGAGTTAACTCTTTTTGAACTAAGCTTAGGAGTCCATGAGAGCACGTTGGGCTTTCCCAGGAAAAGCAGGCCCTAACTTGAATCTTCAGACAATCTGCCTCTTTTGAAATATTATGCATCTGTTAGAGTTGCATGGTCATTGGAGATTGTGGTGCCCATATCAAGAAGGGTTTGGTGCTGAGATTTATGGAAGACGGACATGTGAATCAGGCAATGATCTCCCCACCATATTTCACACTTTGTGAATGAGACAGAATAGGTGAATAAAAAAGCTAGGATAAAAGGGAGAAAGTGGTGTATGTCATAAGAGGGACACAGGGAACACTCTATGGAGAATTGGAAGACTGACCACAGCTGGAGTAGGAGATAGGATCAGACAGGGCTTTGCAGGTAGTCTTTGAATTGGGCTTGAAAGACAAGAAGGATTTGGACAGACAGAGTTGGAAGACACCAGACTGGGAAAACAGCAGAATCAAATGCAGAGAGGCAGGAGGTGGCCTGTGTGCTGAGTCAGCCAGTTAGGCTAGAATAAGAAATGCGAGAAGGAGGGTTTGTGTAATGTGGCAGAATGGGCCCACGCTTTGGAATTCTAGGTGTGTCACTTAATGTATATAAGTTTCTTAGCACAAAATCTCACATATAGTAGACAGTAGTTATATAGTAGTTATTCTTATAATTGTTTCAAAAGAGAATTGTGAGAAACCAAGTTAGAAAAGCAGATTGGGGTCATATTGTTGTATGTAAAGGAGGCTGAGTTTAATTCTTGAGCAATGAGGAGGCCTTAAAAGGTATTTCTCAGGCAAGTGACATGATCAGAGTGGTAGAAAAATTAATTTGGGAATCTACTGAAATATGACCTCTACATCCACTTGAATGAAAATACTCTTGCTAGCTAGAAAAGGACCGCTATCTCATTGCCAAATGCAGTTCTTATGCTATTAGGCTTATGGCGGCATTAGATGACATTTTTAAGTTGTCTTTTAAATGCCTCTTCCAGACTTCTTTGATTTCTCTGATTGCACTTTCTCTGTCTCCCCTGAATCATCTTCCTCTCCCCACCCTTTAGGTACTAGGACCACTGAAGGCTCTGTCTTTGGCCCTCTTTTCTTACTATTCTATTCCTGCTTCATGGGCCATCACATCCACTCCCCGACTTACATGCTAATGATGCCCAAGTCTCAATTTCCAGCCTCTTCTACTATTTATATATCCTGCTATACAAAACTCCTTGCTGTGTTCTGAACACCACATTGTTTTCCCCAGCCTTTCTCATTGAGCACTTTGGGGGAATATCAACCTCCCTTGTCATCTACCTGACAAACTCCTACACATTGATCAAGGTCCAGATTGCTCATTGCATTCAACTCATGCCCTTCTTGGTGCTTCTAGGAGACTGTGCTCAGATTCACTCATTGTTATGCCCAAGGCTGTGTCTACTGATCACTGATAGAGTACTTGCTTCACAGTTTTTGTAGCAGAGCACTCCGCTCGTCTGTCTTCCTATTAGTCTGTGAGCAAGAAAACAGGATTCAGCCCTGCCCATTACTTTATATTGAGCAATGAGTACAGTTTTTAGGACATAGGAGGTAAGTACTCAAGATTTGCTGGTGAATAAATCTTGGAAAGATGATTCATGATATCAAAACCCCATATGACTCTACAGTAATGATTAAATAAAATTTAAGGAGATTCATTTTAAGCTTGCCTATTTTTGTGCAGGATCAAAATGTGCACAAAGGTGACAATGGACAACTTCTTGACAGCCCATCACGAGATGGGGCACATCCAGTATGATATGGCATATGCCATACAACCTTTCCTGCTAAGAAATGGGGCTAATGAAGGGTTCCATGAAGCCGTTGGAGAAATCATGTCACTTTCTGCAGCTACACCTAAGCATTTGAAATCCATTGGTCTTCTGCCACCTGATTTTCAAGAAGATGATGGTATGGAAATATTCTCATGGCTTATTCTGGGGCTTCTTTAGTTTGACATGGGCTAAGGTATTTATTATCATGCATAAGAAATATTTATTTTTTGACCCATAACGTATAAGATATTTATGGATAACTGGAAGTTGCTACTGTAAAAAGAATTTTAAGTATGTATCAGAACATGTCAACTTGTGGTTTTGCATTACTGAAAAAGGATTAAGAGGAATAATTGAATGAATGGTCTTGGGACCCTAGGAAATATCTAACAGAAGTTTGTTTTTCCATTAAAGATGCTGAAATAGTCCCACAGAACTGAAATGGCTTGTTCAAGGTCACCCAGCTAATTAGTGTCAAGGTCCTGACTAGATCCCTCTGGTTCTAAGTAAAAACTTCCCAAAATTTTAGAGTTGGAACAGATTCTAAAAACTGTTTCATAGAAGAGCAAACTGAAGACAAGACAAGGAAAGTAGATCAAAGTCAAAGAGCAATGTAGTTGCAAAACCAGAACCAGAGCCCTAATCTAAAGCCTTTCCCATAACATTACCCTTGTGTGGGAAATTCATTTTGCCTTGATCTCTGGCTCCAGATCTTTAGTGATCCCATGAGGGCCTGGGAGTAAGCCAGTGTAAAGCCATCATCATGTCTGAAATAGTCACTGTAACATAGATTCAGTGGATTATAGACTAGTAATGGCATCCTCCCATCAAGCAACAAAGGAAAGGTAGTTAACAGTAACCACATGTGCTTCCTAATTTTAAAATAGAATTTATTTAAGTCAATGAACAGACAATTATTTTATTATTTTTTAGTATTCCCTGACAGCAAGCCAAAATGTTTGAATTGCTATGTTTCTTAAGATGGTATTAGATGTGGTTAAACTGCCGGTTTGGAAAACTCCTGCTTCTTTTCTTGGCTTTCCCCCTGATTTGCAAATAATGTTAAACAAATAAATTCCTTCATCCCTTCTCTCCCTCTTTCCAACCTTTCTTCTTCCAAACACATTTACCAAGCACATACCATGTGCAAGACATTTTTCTAGACACTAGAATCACAATGATGTGCAGGGTAGATAACACCCCCTGCTTACATTTCAGTGAGCTTCCCTTGTACACTAGAGATGAGCTCCACTGCCTCTTCATGTCACTAATAAGGGATAAAATAAAACAACATGATTTGTTAAAGGTTCTTAAATTCTTGGTAAGGAAGATGTCAGTACATTTAAAGAACATTGTACATTTGATCATTCGGTGGATTGTGCCCTCTAGGGAGGCTCTTTTGGTTTTTTTCTCCCATCCCTGGTGTACCAGATTTTCACTGAATCTGTTTAATATTTGTTTATGTAATGAAAACTCACAGAGGGCCTCACATAGCAGACAGTGGACTAGGTATACAGTCTTGAATGAGACGTTAACAGTCACTATCTTCATGAAGCTTTCAAGAATAAACAGTATGACTGGGAAAGTAGTCATACACGGCTTTACACTGGCTTACTCCCAGGCCCTCATGGGATCACTAAGGATCTGGAGCCAGAGATCAAAGTAGTATAACTACTTTCCCAGTCATAAATGGCTGTAATTAACTCTGATAAAAGGTTTTTAAGGAAGACAATTGAAACTAATGAAAAAAATGAGGATTAGGGGTAAATTTTGGATTTGTATTTGCCTGTTCCATTCCAGGGTCTCCCCCTACTCCAAATCCTTTAGCTTAGAAAATGAATATATACATATTAACATGTCCACTGTCAATATTTCTCATGTAATCGTCCTGTAGTAAGTGTATCTTGAGGTATAATATTTTAAGATTAGGAAAATTCTCTTTAACACAAACATCCACTGTCATCTTCATCTTAATATTTATCTTTTTTCCATTGTACTTTCAGAAACAGAAATAAACTTCCTGCTCAAACAAGCACTCACGATTGTTGGAACTCTACCATTTACTTACATGTTAGAGAAGTGGAGGTGGATGGTCTTTAAGGGTGAAATTCCCAAAGATCAGTGGATGAAAAAGTGGTGGGAAATGAAGTAAGTCAATGAATGTGCAGTCGGTAAAATGTTTTCTCATGACTTTGCTTTTTATTTAAAATCATTTGACTGGCATGAACACACACACACGCACACACACATATCTGATATCTGTATTTCATTGCCTGAGAGCTTCCTAAGGCCACCTGAATCCCCAAATGGCAGAAAGGGCTGAGGAACTAACACTGCTCCCATCAGCCTTCACCCAATGACTGATGGGAGTTGCTGGATAAATATCTCAGCTCCCTTGCCCTCAAATGGGACAACTCTTGAGATGAGTGCTCCACACTGAATCTCAGAGTTCCTCAGTGGGATAAAGCTCCAATTACCCACAGTGGGAACTTGCCTGATAACACACTTTTTGGGCAGCTTCCTTTCCCTGTCTCACTTCCTCACTCCTTTGCCAATGTTTCCTGGAATCATTTTCCCAGGCCTTGTCTCAAAGTCTACTTCTGAAAAAACCCAATCTAAAATGACTAGCATTGGGGTTCCCAGAGACTGCTTCACAGTCAGGATAACTGGGATTTAAATAGGTGCATCTTGAAAACTGGTGATGTGGCATTAAGTATGTGAAAAAGAGAGAGAAGTGTGTTCAGATTAGGGGAATGCCATCACACACCCCACCCACAGCACACATGAATGGTCTCCTTTTTATATTTTTTAGTCTTCATTTGGATGCCATGTCTACAGGTAAAATTCCCTTGGCTCTGCCTCTAACTTGAGTCAGGTGACACTGTTCATGCTCTTAAGTGCTGGATCATTCATTAAACTATGATATTATTTAGGAAGTGATCAATATTTTTATTCATTTTTATGTATTCTTTTACTCATTCTTTTAAACAAAATGTTGACCCCTCATTTTAGGCAAAGCATGTGGGGATCCAATGCTAGTTATCTCAGGTGTGGTCCCTGACCCCCAGAAATGTTTAGTCTGTGGCAGGATATGGAAAACTAAACCACTGCAGTGTGTAGTGTCATGATAGAAGGTTACAGGGCCTATGTGTGTCTAAATGGAGATCCAAAGTCCCATTTAGCAGGAGGTTAGATGAGGAGAGGCATCTAAATTGAGCCCTGGGAAAGATGTGGGAGTTAACCAGGTATGTGTGGAAGGAAACAGAGAATTCTCTAGAGAGAACCTGGCACATTTGGGCAACAGATAGTGATACATTTCAATGATTGTAGCACTACATTACTCACTACTGTAGCCCAAGTGCCCTGCACTGCGCCTGGCACATGCAGGTATGAAATAAATGGGTTTTGGATGAAAGAACTACAAAAGAAAGAAAGAGAGAGAGAGAGAGAGAGAGAGAGAGAGAGAGAGAGATTGGGACTAATACTATGGTTGGTTTGGCTTTTTGACTTTACAATGTTGTTCAGCTGTACAATGGTGAGTACCATACAACCATTCCATTTTTCACTTTCAGTACAGTGTTTAATAAATTATACGAGACATTATAAAATGTCTTTGTATTAGATGATGTTGCCCAATTGTAAGCTAATGTAAGTTTTCAGAGCACATTTGAAGTAGGCTAGGCTGAGCTATGATGTTCAAAAGGTTAGGTGTATTAAACATATCTTGACTCAAGATATTTTCAACTTATAATGGAGTTATTAGGATGTAACCCCATCATAAGTCAAGGACATCTGTACTGAGCTTGGAGGTGAAGATAAAGAACAATTATAATTATCACCTTGTTAGTTCATTTATTATTAGCACAGCTGTCCACAAACCTAGAAGTTAAATAGAAGAAAACTCATTTACCGGATGAATGAATAATCATTAGAAACATGGAACAGAGACGCGGGTCACAGTATGTTTCATCATGGGGCACAGGTTCCACCACCCCAACTATTCTCGTGCCTTTGGAAGAAAAGAAAAAGATACATTAGCTGCGGGTTACCATCATGAGAAGAAGAGTTGGTGCAACTGGTGCAGTTTCATCAGTCAGTGGTATTATATTGGAATTGGTGTTGGGTGAAATAGAAACAGTATAAAAATCAGAAAGCCCATTATGTGGTTATCTTTTAAGTTTTTTTAAATTCAGCCAGAATATACATTGGAAAATACTATGTCTGGATGTGCTTCCTCTGCACTTCTCTCCCTGTTTTATTGTTTTCACCTACACCTTCTTCTTGCCCTGGAGACTGGAGCTCCTAAAGAGTGGGGCTGTGTCTTGTCATCTCTATAGTTCCAACATCAATCACAGTGCCTAACATTAAGGAAAGACTTCAATTATATTATTGAATGACTAAAGGAACAATTAATGCATTAATAAATCACTTTAAGGGTCTGATTCCATGTACCTTTAAAATAAACTACGAGGAATCAAAAGATTAATCCAGTCAGGAAACAAGTAGGGAAACCAATGTATTTGGAATAAAGTGAAATACATTTGTCTTTTGAGATCGTGGGATGGTTGTAGGCATAGCTTCATTAATATTTCAACACTAGAAACAGTTATCATAGGTGCTGCCTCCTTCCTCCCAAGTAAGATTGATGTTAACAGAGAGAATCTTGACAGAAGAATGGTACTGTTTTAACCCTGATGGATGGGGGACTGCATGTTACACATGAGATCTTCACTTCAAAAAGAAAAAATAAGAAAACATAATTGACAGGTGTCTAACAGATGGGTGGAAAGAAAATAGATAT